ATTCTAGTATATTCTAACACCATAACAACTAAGGTAATTAACATAGAAGTATAAGTTACCAAATTGATTTCAAATTGATTTTTTATGCCTAAGCGTAATACGTATAAACAAAAACACTAAGGACAAACAATTGTTTAGTTGAAGTTCAAATATAGTTTTTTGTAGGGAAAGGTGTTGTAGACCATCAACGTTGATGATCTTTATCGAATGATTGGAGGCCCACTCGAGTTAAACAGGAACGGTGTAACGAACAAACTAACTTCGAAGTCACACCTCGTGGTCAGCATCTAACATGGATTACCCCATACGACGTATTAAAGTACTATGTCTGCTTTGAAGACTATATAACACAAAGAGCGTGATTACGTAAATATATTAGTAAGAATGAGTACAGAGATTTTAATGAGACCACAACCGTATGAGCCAGTTCATGGCGTATGATTAACTGATGTGCCTTCGTTGTCCTTGACTTCAACAGGGATTGATGATCTGTTCGATATTCAGTGACCCAACTCCCGGATGATTTGGCTAGGGCCCAGTGATATTTCACTGCCCCTATAGTGTTAAGTAAATAAACATAATTTAGTGACGAATAATATATTTCTTAATCACGTAAGTTAATTTAATGATTCTAGAAATTATGTTCACACATTAGACTATTGATTAATGGGTTCGAATCTCGCGAGGTGGGATCGTGGATGCTCACTGCTGAGGAGTCTCACAACAGGACGAAACGGCCGTCCAGTGCCTCCAGGTTTTCCCTGGTGGTCTAACTTCAAATGATTCATGATTTCAACTATATAAAATTACTAAAATATCTACAAAACCCCCTTCCAATATTGATTAATTACAAATTCAATTAATTCAAAATTGACTTATGATCTCAACTATTAAAATTAATATAAGATTCACAAAAACTCCTGATATTTAATCAACATATGCTCATTGGTGTTTAACTTCAAGAGCTATTTCATGGAGTTCTAGTGAGAAGCAGTGACCAGTGCAGTTCAACCGGGTCTGTCGTAAGATAGTAACTCTTTGAAGACAATGGTGGATGTGTCGCTCAATTTCGTAGATTAGTTGAAGTTACACATTAATACCATCTCAACACCGTTGAATGCCGGTTCAGTGATCTAGAGGTTAAGCGTTTGCGCTTACTTATTGATTGATTAGACATTTAAAATGATATTTATTATTATTATTACTTACTGTTCTGGATGTCATTTAATTAATGGCTCATGAGTAAAGTAGTCTTCTTCTTAACACTTTTTTTCTTCTGTATGTTGATAAAGTACCCTCGTTACATTTTAATGAGTAGCAGGTGGAAATTATTCGGTAATCATATCAAACAATTGGATTAGTAGAAGTAATCAATGCATAGTTCAATTCACAACCCTGAAAAATTAGTTTTATCACAAGTTACTACAGTAGGATAGTTTCGAAATACGGTGAATATATTCGGAGTTTTATTTAGTTGAAATCATGCGTCATTTGAAGCTAGACGACCATGGAAAACCTGGAAGCACTGGACAGTCGTTTCGTCCTATTGTGGGAATCTTCAGAAGTGCGCATCCACGATCCCGCATTCGCAAGATTCAAACCCAGAACCTATCAGTCTCGTGAGCGAGCGCTTAACCACTAGACCACTGACCCGGCCAGCATCCAACGGTGTTAATGTCTAACTTCAACCAATCCACGAAATCGAGCAACCACTCACCAATGTCTTCAGTGAGTTGTTATCTCACAACAGACCTGGTTGAACTCCACTGGTTACTGCCTCTCACTAGAACTCCCGGAGATACCTCATGGAGCCAGTCACTAGTGAGCATATGTTGATTAATATCATAAGGGGGTTTTGTGGAGATTTTAGTAATTTTATATAGTTGAAATCATAAGTCAATTGAAGTTATCGTAATTTTAATTACAGTGTGCGAAGTTACGACGTGATCAGCCGATAAGTCCTCATAAGAAAGAATTATTAATGCCAACCCCTAAATGAAATGTTATTAAAAGATAAACTAATTGTTGAACAGAATCGATTTTTAAACAGAGATGGACAGTGGACAGCGGAATTCAGGACGCGCGTTTCGTCCTATTTGGGACTCGTCAACTGGGTGTACCTGCTAGCCACTGTCCATCTTTGCTTACAATGCTTGTGAATCAAGGCTATATCGAGGCATTACGTACAGTATTCACATATGCCAATTAGAGACTGATCAACTGCAATCCTAAACATCAATGGGAAGATTCAAACAAACAATACCAAGTGAATTCAGAATCGATTTTTGTCACAAAATAGTACACTTATACACAAAATATGACACATTAATAGAGATCACTTAAAACACCAGTGATTGTACGCTTCGTCTCTAATTTCATTTTTCATTTCTGACTCTTTTTCTCTATTTTTGATGTTACCACTTCTTTCATTCCTCTGTTTTCCATCCTGTCAATTTCATAAATGTTGGTTGAGCAACTTGTTGTGACTTCAGGCCTGGATAATTATCACGTGATTTATTTGCTAATCGATATACGTTGTAGCTGACTGACTGATACGACTTATATGATCTTAGCATAGTGCCAAACCAATGACGTATCGACCAGTATGAACGGCTTAGGATCGTATTAGTCTTCTTTACTCCTATCCCGTCCAGTTCAGTCAAGAACACCAATAACAGTTTCCATTATACAAATCATTTATTTCAAACACACTTGGTATATATGCCAGCCAAACAGACCATATCACACCATAAAATAGGAAATAACTATTGTACAAAATCAAGACAAAAGTGGCTGTGAATGTGGTAAACTGTACTTAATAAACTGAGTATAATTTAAGAATAGTAAATCGGATGATGGTATTATGGTTACACAACTACAACATTATTGTCTCTTTTCTAAGAACTTGAGGTGGTGCACATTTGTTCTGTATTGTATGCTGAATGTAACTGGCCTTATGTATAAACTCAATTCATTGTGAATATCTAGAACCGATTTGTTTCATTCTTATTTTGTTTAACCCTATAGACCATGATGAACTGATGAAAATTAGGTTTCAAGTGAAATATCTAGAACTAAGTACAAGAGTTGAGAGAAAAGGTGGAAGGAAGAAAAAAGAAGACACCACACAAATCTAATCTTTAGTTTGGCTAAGAAACATATTTCATTTTGGAGAAGCTTTCAGAACGTTTTATGACAGTTAAGATATACTTTGTTTACAGAGAGAGGATTATTATCATAAAGATCAGTGTAAACAACAGAGCATGCATTCATTAAATCATTTAGATAAGTTCTTAGTATATAAGTAACATGAGTGTTATACGAAGAGTGTATTCACTTAAATACAACAACATAGATACACTACATAGCCCGTAAATAAAAGTCCCCATTATTAGAAACCTATCATAGTAGACTAGTTGCTAAATTACGTGGTTCTCATTAACTAGGTTACATGTACGTAAACTACTTTATCTATCTCATTTTGGATAACATTATTAAATTACAGAATGAAAATGTGACCGGAAATTGGTTGTATGTGTCGGAACATGGTTACTAAGTTACAATGAATGGATTAGATTGGTCTATTGGATTAATTTGACTAAACTGATTATTATCAGAATACGACTTTATGGTCGCGCAATACAATGAATTGACTGGGATTAGACATGTACACAAATGGATGTTGGTTCAGTAACCTATGGGTTGGGCGATCGTGTACCGTATTGGAAGTCCTTCGTTCGAATTCCTGTAGCGAGGTCTCAGACGTGAACTGGTGAGGAGGCTCATATTAGGACGGGACAGTTGTTCAGTGCTTCCTGATTTTCAGCAGTTGTCAATGGTGGTCTAACTATGATCTGTTTGTGATCTAAAGCTATGTCAAGCTGACTGTTAGTAGAGATAAGAAGTCTTGGTTAAAAAAAACATGTTAATCCAAATAAACTGTAATGTTCAGGTTCTTCTTGAGACTTACATCTTATTTGATAAGCTTTAAACATGGACGACAGTGTTATGTAATCGTTATCAATAAATAAAGGGAAGATATTAAGATTAAGTACATCACTAATTACCTACTTCATACTAAATCATACAAAGAAGACTCTAAGCTATAATTGAGAAAAATGGCTATGCAACAACAAATAGCAATAGGACGAAACGGCTGTCCAGTGCTTCCAGGTTTTCCATGGTGGTCTAGCTTCAATTGACTCATGATCTCAACTATATAAAATAGCAAAGATTTTATTCTTTAACGGCTTTTCTTTTTCCCAATAATGTCAGTCGATTACTACAATAGAGTTGATCAGTTAACATATAATTATTTTCAAATAAGCTAATTGGTGAACGATTGCTCAACTTCGTGGATTGGTTGGAGTTAGACATCAACACCGTTGGATGCCGGCCCGCTCAGTGGTCTATCGGTTAAGTGCTCTGGCGCGAAACTGGTAGTTCCTGGGTTCGAATCTCCCGAGGCTAGGTCGTGAGTGCGCACTGATGAGGAGTCCTACAATAGGACAAAACGGCTATCCAGTGCTTCCAGGTTTTCCATGGCGGTGGTCTAGCTTCAATTGACTCACGCTTTCAACTATGAAAATACTGAAATCTCCACAAAAAATCCCTTCTAACAATGAGAAGTCAGATATAACAATATTTATATTGTAAGTAAAATACTAGCAATGAATGTATCATAACATTATAATATAATAAAAAAATATTTAAATACATAGGTTAATAAGAATAAAGTATAAACTACAACCAGATAGTTGTTAAAAAGAAAGCAATAAGTTCAAACATCAAGCTTTAAAACTTAAATACAATTTAATGGAATGTAATATAACGTACAAAGAGAGTAACTTACAGAGTATCAGTCAGTCACAACGTAGAACTTCGTACGTACAGAGTATATACTACGCTTATACGATTTTGAGATAGTGAAAAAGATGATTTAGTAGTTCTGTTCAGATAGATGATTTTGATTATCCTTCTGAATGACATCATCATCATCATCATCATCATCATCATCATCATCAAAAGAAGAACAATGAAAACTCCACAACCAAACCAAACCATCTATTCATTCATTCATTTAACTAACTATTCGTTCAGAATGATTTCTATGAATACATGGTGATAAAATTATATTAATCAATGATACTTGTACAGCAAATACAATACCAATTGTACATATTAATCTTGAAAATTGACGATCTAATTTTAAAGAATAAATTAGAATAGCTGAGATAATACTTAATAAACCACATAGTAATATAATAAATCTGATTGTAAAATAAGTTGGATTTAAATCAAGTGATTCAGAGCATATAGTTACTAATTCAAGAATAAATGATATAGTTAAAAGGATTAAACCAAGAAAAATTAGTAATATTAATATAATTGTAATAATTTGATAATTACGTAAACATGTTGTAAATAATCCACCACAATTCCAATGATTAATAATTAATGCTATAATAATAAATATAATACTGAATGGTTGAAGTATCAAGGATAATGTTTTGGTCATTTTTTTAAATATTTTTAGATAATGTACATTACTAAAACAAACTATTCATTGTATATTTATGATTAGTTACCAAGTATTTGAATAATTAGGTTATTAAAAGTTTGAATTTATTTGATTGGTTAATTTGTGAAAATGACCTTGGGTATGTTTGCCTTGTATTGTATTATCATTGTAAGACAGGCCAAATGTCTATTGGTTAATTTGTAATGACAGGATAGATTTAATATATCACGAGTTTGGTTTTCGAATGCCAAATATAATTTATTATTGATAGATTTTATTATGTATATTGATTATAAATTTCTAATCTTGATAGTTTCAAATATTTTATTCCACTGATTTTATAAACACACATTCTTACTGTAAGCAAAGATGGATAGTGGCTAGCAGTGGAGTCCAGGACGCGCGTCTCGTTCTATTTGGGACTCGTCAGTTGGACGTCTCTGCATCTCAGAGTTGATGTTCATTTTGAAACTGGATTCCAGTACTGTTCGCTTCAAGCATCATCGCGTTATCCACTCAGCTACTCAGTCCTGATAGCCGCTTGCTTATGCAATGGGGTGAAGTTTAAATTCACTCAGTATTGTTTGGTTGAATCTTCTCATTGATGTTTAGGACTGCAATTGATCAGTCTCTAATTGGCAAATGTGCATACTGTGCGTGTTGCCTCGATATAGCCATCTTTGCTTATAATGTTTGTGAATTAAGCCTATATCGAGACAATACGCACAGTACACACATATGCCAATTACAGACTGACCAGTTGCAGTTTTAAGAATCAATGGGAAGATTCAAACAAACAATACTAAGTGAATTTACACATTCTTACTATCTTATACATGTCAATTGCTTACTTACGCCTGTTACCCCTCATGGTGAAGCATAGGTCACACACCAGTATTCTACATCCAACCCTGTGTTGGGTAATCCTTTCCAGTTACTATTCATCCTTTTCATATCTGTTTCTATTTCCCTGTGTAATGTGTTCTTTGGCTTTCTTCTTTTCCGCTTCCCTTACGGATCTTATTTATTTATTTATTTGAACACATAAATAATGGTACAAAGGGGGCACCAGATGTACATGCGTCACACAAATCTAATTTGATATGTGTGAGGGCTATGATACTGTCCGGTTGTCCAAACCAAAACAGGTGGTTTTCTTACGGAGCCACTCCACGAGTCTGATCCACAAGGCAGTGGAGCATTGTGAAGAGATGCATTCACATGGTAGCCGGTAACTAGCGATTGTTTCATACTCCATTTGTTCCTTCAGGGTACTGTAGCCCATGTGCACCATTGGTTTAGAATCAGGGTTTTCCAACTCCTCTAGGTGGACTTTCCGTGTCCATTGGCCTGGTTAAAGCTCCAGACATTCGCTTTTCTTTTTCTCAATTTCGTAAACAATAGGTCTGCGGTGAGAAGGCAATGAGTAGGACTTCCCTGACAGAGGCTATATACGCGTGGCCGTATGAGAGCATTTCGAGGGAAAGGGCAGTCCCCCCCACTCTCGACCGTATCAGGTTATTTGGGGGCTTACGGATCTCGAGCTTATATTTCAATGGATTATTAACAGAAAAATTTTAGAATTATAATTGCAAAGCTTGAGTATCCTATAAAATGCGTTTTATTTTCTTTTTCGATCAGCTATATTTGAACTGACTTCTGAACATCCCTGTTATTTATGTTACATATTTTGCATACATCACTTACATCAATTTTTAGGGATGGTAGCTACATGCATGACAGTTGAGAGATTAGTATCCGGTTCGATTTTATCAGCAAAATTGAAGAGAATATTTTATGTTGATAGACATTTTGAAAATTCGCATTACCATTACGATTTGTGCTCAGAGTCATACATGTAACCGCAACATTATTCACTCTACAGTACAAACATATCCAACAAACGACTAAGAGATACTTGTGATAATACACACTTCCAATCTACCTATTTTAACTCCTCACAAAACTCGAACATTCCATTTAATGATTACACTTCAATCTTACAAGATGGAGAAACCATTAACACTACATTTGTTTGAATTAGATCTTTTGAAGTAAATGGAGATCTGGTCACAATCTTAGCTCATCACTTCCCCAAACTCTAATCCATTCTCATACATTTTACATAATTCAACATAAATAAATACTAATAAGTGCTAACCTTAACTTATGTGAAGGATGAAACTAGCTAGTGTAATTACTTACAATGTAAGCTCACACAGCTGTGGTACAAACTATCTACCGACTGTGCTCTCTTCAAAAGTACAGAAACTGTACATTGAATGTAAAATAACAGTCATTTTTTTCCTCAATTTATGTCAATAAATGAACAATAATATGGAATCAAGTAAGAATGATACATTTAAACCTACTTGTGGTAACCTTGAAAAAAGTCTTTCCCTTTGTCTTGCTTCCCAGTTCATACACAGTCATTATCTAGGATATTAAGTTTGCCGATGATCAAATGTTTTTATAGCGAATTGTTCTTCATAATAAATCGGAGTGCAAACGTCTACTGCGTCAGTCAGTGGAGCTTTATCACTATGTATGTCGCTTGCCTGAAATTGGTGTTGTTTTTTTACAAAGATAAGCAGTCGATCAGAATCCATATGAACATTTTCGCTTCTTCAGTATTAATTGGTCTTGTATACACATAGATGAAATGTGGCTTCTGATACTTTGATCATTGACCGATAATTTTGTAAGCTAGAAGACACATTTGTCAAGTGTGAATATTTTTTCTATTTACCAGTCCAGGTTTTTAAGTTACATCTGATGGAAGAACAGCAGAATGTTCTTTTCCATATTGCAGCCTGCTTAATTCTATTTACAGTTGGAGATGACACAAAAAATAACATAAACTTTTCATGACATTCCCAACTACACGTAATCGGCATAAAAGATGATGCGATTTCGAATGAATTTCTATTACTACAGCAACTATCGTTGGTGAATCCTCTTTGATAATTTAAGGCGGATTTCAGTTATCAGTTGAACGTTTGAAGAATGACGGAAATCGAGAGAGTAGTTCTGGAGTTACACGAAGAATGAAGGTGACAGGGCTAAGGGCATTAGGTTTTTATCCAAAATCACAATTTGAAAGGAAAATAAAGTTTTGTTGTTTGTTTGATATATCTTATCAAAACCAACCACTTTCAAGAAAAGAGTAGTCAAACTGATTCGATTTGTAGCAGCGAAGAAAAATTACTGTAGATCATTATCTCTATGCATCTGATATTCTCAAAATCCACCAAAGAATGTAATGTGACGTTGCAACTCACTGTTATCTTCCACATTTGATTAACATGGATATTAACATTACTATCCTGAGAGGTGGGCCTTTAAGAATGCCTTATGTAGCATACTGAAGACATCCTAGGGATTTATATGCATTGGTAAACACTTCATGACACAATATTATAAAACTGGTCAATGATGATTGCCAGTGGTAGATAAATTACCAAAGTTCGGAGTTTAGAGAAAACGAGAATTTTAAAGGAATCATTCCATTTTATGTCAATCTTCCAAAAATGGTATACGACTAGTGAAATTTCACTGATCCCTAGACAAATCATCCGATAGTCAGGTCACTGAATGTCAAACAGTTCACTGATCCTTGTCAAGGTCAAGGACAACCAATGTGCAACAATTAATTGCACGCCATGGACTGGCTCACTCAGCAGTGATCATACTCTGTTCTTTGTGCCTACTTTTAGTAAAATATTTCTGTATTAACTTTATTCGTGCTGCACGGTCACCAAAGCAGACATAGTATCTGGATACGACGAAAGGGTAAACCACATGAATAAAATTAACTATAAATACAGTTGTACATTCTAAGTAAATGGAATCGTTGGAAAGGAAATTTTCTTCGCCGAATTGCCTTCATTCTTTCTTCATATCATCCTACCTAAATCATCGTTCTTTCTCTTCATGATATCTCCCCTTTCTGATAATAATCATCATATGATTACTAGTGACTGGCTTCAAGAAGTATTTCATGGAGTTCTAGTGAGAATCAGTGACCAGTGAAGTTCAACCGGGTCTGCTGTGAGATAGTAACTCACTGAAAACATTGGTGGATGTGTCACTCAATTTCTTAGATTAGTTGAAATTACATATTAACACCATCTCAACACCGTTGGATGCCAACTCAGTGGTCTAGATGTTAAGCATTCGCACAAAAGACCGAGGGCCCTAGGTTCGAATTCCGCGGGCGGGATCGTGAATGCACATTCCTGAGGCATTCCCTAATAGGACGATTCAGATTTACAGTGCTTCCAGGTTTTCCATGGTGGTCTAGCTTTAATCGAGTCCTTTTAAGTATATAAATTTGTCTTATGATTTTTGATTGCAACAACTTTGAGAAATAAAACAATATGTTTAATTTTGTTTACTTATTGATAATTTAGAATGATTTCGAATGTCACTTTGGAGTTAACTTAACTTTACTAACAGCTGATCAGTAGTATATCGCTATCCATTTCTATAAAATTTTCTTTTAGGTTATTCACGTTATTTAACATTGAAATATTTAATCATGTGAAGATCAATTTTCTTTGATGAGAACGTTTCTATCAGAAGGGGGTTTTGTGGAGATTTCAGGATTTGCATAGTTGAAATCATGAGTCAATTGAAGCTAGACCACCATGGAAAGCCCCCAAATGCCCTGGTACGGTCGAGAGTGGGGAGAGTTCGCTCTCCCTCTCCAAATGCTTTCACATGGCCACGAGTATATAGCCTCTGTCAGGAAAGTCCTACTCATTGCCTTCTCGCGCCACGAAATACAGAGGACGAAAAGCGAATGTTCGGCGCTCTAACCGGGTTGGTGGACAAGGCGAGTCCACCTAGGGGAGTTGGAAAACCCTGATTACAAATCAATGGTGCATATGGGCTCCAGGATCCTGAAGTAACAAATGGCGCATGATCCAACCGCTGGTCACCAGCTACAATGGGAATGCATCTCCTTACGATGCTCCACTGCCTTGTGGATCAGATATTTAAGTCAAAGGCTCCGGTTGTGGTCCCTTAAGAAATCCACCTACTTTAGTTTGGGCACGTGTATAGTATCACAGCCCTGACACAAATCAAATGAGATTTGTGTGACACATATGTATCTGGTGCTTCCTTGTACTAATATTTATGTGTTTAAATAAAATAAAAAGAAACATAAAAAAACCTGGAAGCACTGAATGGCCGTTTCGTCTTATTGTAGGACACTTCAACAGTGCGCATCCACAATCCCACCTCGCGAATTTCGAACTCAGGACCTATCAATCTCGAACACAAGCGCTTATCCTCTAGAACCAGTTTTTCCACGATAGTCTAGCTTCAATTAACTCATGATTTTAACTATTAAAATCTTTTAGTTTATCAAGTTCAATAATGTATCATCTAAAATAATTTTACAATTACTTAATAAAATAAATGAGTAGTATTTCATATATATTAATTAAACAATAAAATCATCCAATAAACATTATCCAGATAGATTAATCTATTTTACAATTAATTAAAAAAGTGAATCTATCCAAGCATTATCTAACCATTGTTATTGGTCAAATTCTTCATATATAAACTATATGAATGGTACATATTCAATTAGATAAGAACAATAGAATCATCATTATCTTATCTTACTGATACTCAATACCTTCAACAACAACAACAACAACAACAACAACAACAACAACAACAGCAACAACAACAACAGCAACAACAACAACAACAACAACAACAGCAACAACAACAACAACAGCAACAACAACAACAACAACAACAACAACAACAACAACAACAGCAACAACAACAACAACAACAACAACAAATGTCTAAATTATTATCTTTAATTCTTCAACCTATTAGTATTGGATTTATTGTATTAGGATTTTCTATTGATCAATGGGGTTGTGGTAAATTATTAAATTCTTGTTTATATTATTATAAAACTGTTACAATTATGTTGTTACTATGCTTAATTATTGGTATATCATTTTTAATTGTTTCATTTTCACTTGACTTAGTAACAATTTTTTCTTCATCATTAAATTTAAATTCAACATATAATACAATTAAATTAATTTTATTATTTATTGGTGTTATTGGTATATTTTTAGGTATATTCATTTATACTATTAAAATAGATCGTGATTATTCACAATTATTATGTGTTATTGGTATAATAATAGCTTGTCAAGTTGCATTAATTAATTTAATTTTATATCCTTGTTTTTATAAGAAACGGGCTAAAGTAATAGTAACAACAGTTAAATAAATGAATAAACTAATGAATCATTTCTGGTTAGTTACCCAACCAAATCTAACATCTCCCTCAATCCCCTCCCCCCTCAACCCCCTCCTTTTTGTATGTTAAATTACATTTTTTGATAAACTATTTATTTCAATATTCAATCTTACTATTTGAATTTATTTCTATAAATAGTTTTATTGGTTTATTGTTTTGTTCCTATGGAGCTATATATATTTAAAAATGATTGTATATGACAATGTTTCTTATTTCTTTTTTTTTAATTTTTTTTTGGGGGGGGGGCGACAGATCCTGATGTTAATTTAATTTACAATATAAATATTACTATAGTTGACTTACTTTTTATTTTATATAGTTGAGATCATGAGTCCATTAAAGTTAGACCATCATAGAAAATCTGTAATCACTGGATGGCCGTTTCGTCTTATTGTGAGACTCCTCAGTAGTTCGCATTCACGATTATTTAGAAATGAACAATCATAAACTAATAAGTTTCATTATAGACATGAACTGATATTAACGAAGGAAATATTAGAAAATTATAAATAACGTTTTAGTTTATGATGAAGTTTTGTTCTCTGAGTTGGATGACTTGGTCGTGGAGCTTTCATAGTCTTTCTGAACGACATTATGAGTAGCACAAACTTCAGGTAGAAGAGAAGTGTTTGAATTTCTTTCAAAGTTTGCATTGATGATGTCGTTCATAAGGATAATGAAAGTTTCATGACTAAACCATCCAACTCAGAAAACGAAACTCCATCAAAATGATCGACCTGAGCTACAAATCTTCTCCATCATGGTTTATTTGATCCTGGTTTGTCTATTGAGTGAACACGTTTTGATTAACCAAAAAGTATTATATAGATGAATAGTTGAATGTGCTTTGAAAGTGGTTGATGGAAATGTTCACCATTAAAATGATTACTGATGCGTACATTGTTCGATTGGTTGTATTTGATAAAGATCATGATTTCAGCATATGATGATTATGTAATACTATCGACCAGGTTCAAGCCTATTAAACAAAACTTGTCTTGCAATCACAGTTACTTTTATATATGATAATCTATGGAAAAAAATTAGGAGTGTTATATCATGGAACAATGTTATCAAAGACAATCGTTTGTTTTTTTAAGTACTGAATACAATTGATGTAATAGTCTTGGAGGCAATAAGAAACAAAAATCTATAGAAGACAGTACCTACTTTGAGAATATATAGAAATGACTTTTTAAAAAAAGGTAATCTCATAATTCCATATAACATGTTGACCACTTCTCCATAATGGAAAATGTACGTTGTCAATACCAACACTAAGATTGGTATGGTTTCCTGTTTTTCTTTCTTACCTAATTAATTATAGACAATTTATTAACAGAAGAGGTTTTTTTAGAGATTTCAGTATTTTCATAGTTGAAATCATGAATCAATTGAAGACAGACCACCATGGAAAATCTGGAAGCACTGGACAGCCATTTCGTTCTATTGTGGCTTCAAGATATATATCCTGGAGTTCTAGTGAAAAGCAGTGACCAGTGGAGTTCAAACCACGTCTGTTGTGAGATATAAACTCACTGAAGACAATTAGTGAACGATTGCTCAATTTCGTGGAGTGGTTGAAGTTAGACATTAACACCGTTGAATGCCGGCCAGCTCAGTGGTCTATCGGTTAAGTGCTCTGACGCGAGACTGGTAGGTCCTGGGTTGTTATATATTACTTCCGTTAATCCTGGCTAAATGTACTAATCAGTTCTGGATTAGTAACGTATATTGTAATGTAATAAAGATAATTCAGCTGGCTAAATTTTCCATGAGTTCACTTATTATGTGGTGTGGGTTACTTATATCCACATAAGTAGTATATGGTATAGGTCAGGCATAGAATGTATTTTGGCAGAAGATTGATAAGGAAAGAACGGGAACGTAACACAATCAGTATGAAAATGTATGAACAATGAAATCAGAGAAGATGAACTGATATTTACAGAAGGAACAGTTAAGATTGCGGCAGTTGATTGTTATTTTGCAAAATAACTGTTTACTATATATCAGAGGGGGTTTTGTGGAGAATTTAGTATTTTCACTGTTGAAATCATGAGTCAATTGAAGCTAGACGACCACATGGAAGCACTGGATGGCCGTTTCATCCTATTATGGAACTCCTCAGTAGTGCACATCCACGATCCCGCACTTTATATACTATATGATTATCAGATTTTAGTAAGATAGTCTGTAATTTGTGTCTATATACATTCTATTATCCCAACTAAAGTTCTTGTTCACTACAGTTATATCATAATGAAGAATAAATGAATGGTAATGGCTAGTAATTATTTATGGACTATCATTACATGTAATCTTATTAGATAATTATAAAGAAACTTGATTGTATGTATGCTCATATTCCTTTTATCATTAGCTTTCATTTGACCTATTAGCTATTGTTATACGATTTTTTCTACTCATTGCCTTTTCGTGATAGAGATTTTGTTTACGAGATTAAGAAGACGAAAACCGAATATCCGGAGCTTTAACAGAGTTGGTGGATATAGAGGATCCACCTAGGGGAGTTGGAAAACCCTCATTCCCTCATTCACATGGACTCCAGGATTCTGAGGGAACAAATGGAGTATGAATCAATCGTTAGTAACCGGCTACAATGAAACTGCATCTTCCCACGATCCTTTACTGAGTTGTGGATCAGATCTTTAAGTCAAAGGCTCCGGGTGTGACCCCCTAAGAAAACTACCTTCTTCGGTTTGGGCACCCGGACAGTATCACAGTCCTAACACAAATCAAATGAGATTTGTGTGACATAAATCTATCTGGTGTCCACTTGTACCAATACTTATATGCTTAAATAAATAAATAAATACGATTTATAATTCTTAATTTATTTCTAATCTATTAGTTATAATGTCTCATACTCATAGCCATTTCTAGCTTGATCTTATATAATCATTAATTTACATTTTATGGTGTGATATATTCTAGTCTGCTTGTGTAAAAAAAACCCACATATGTCTGAAATATATAGTTCATACAGAGTAGGCTGATATTTGTCGGCTGTCTGTGATCCATTGGGGGTAACAGGCGTAAGTAAGTAAGGCTGATATTTGTATTTTTAGCAAAAAGCTACTATACATAAAAGATCAATAAGGACATAGAGTTGACTTGAACCTTCTAGCACTATTTAAGGAATTATTGATTTAGCACTTGAACAAAATCATTGAAGTCGGTATACTGATGAGATATTTTGTCATATGACATTTGACTAGCCATAGGAAGATAACTTCACTGGTAGAACTAACCGAAGAAGATTAGGACATGATTTTTCTTGTTCTTCGATATAACCAAATCTGAATATTACCTCAGTTGCTTATTTAAAATTAACATCTAAACTTATATAAATATGTATTTGCAAAAATTTTACATATTATATTAGTACAACAAGATGATGAAATCAACAAGTCAATTAATAATTTCAGTCAGTAAGTCAGTTACACCGTAGAACTTCGTACGCACGTACATCAGTTCGAGTTGCCATACCACATTAACACAGAGATCCAGTTGTCGATTCGAATCACATAGTGATAGAAGTAGTAAGAGTATAAGCAGTAATCAGAAAGATTAAGGTTTGAAGATGTTATTGAAGGAGTATAATCCAATGAAATAAATTTGAAAAGAGAAAGAAGAAAGGAACATGGAGAATTCAGAAAATTAGAATTTGATAGAAAACAATAAGTGGATGCACTTTCACCATTACAAACGATTTTGAGCCATGTTATTTAAGGTCTCTAACCATCGATTACTATCATCTCGGGAATCCTAACCACGTAGTCTACACGTACCAACATGGCCCAGTGCACTTGTCAGTGACTTCATGGATATGTGCCACGTTTTGGTTTGGCCACCTCTAGCACTCTTCCCACCTGCTTCTACACCATAAAGCATTGCACGTCGGGGCAGTCGGTGGTTGGGCATACGTAACACGTGTCCCAGTCATCTCAACTTATGAAGTTTCAGTACTTCATCAATCGATTTGCCATACTTACCTAGTACCCGTCTCCTAACATCTGCATTACTTACCCGGTGGTCCCAGGATATACGAGCAATGAGTAGAAGACATATATGATCAAATACTAGTAGCCTACGAATATCCTCTACTCTTATTGGCTATGTTTCACTTCCATAAAGTAGGACGGAGCGAACTGCTGCACAGTAAACCCGTCCTTTTGTTGCTAGACGGATATCTCGCCTACGCCATAAATGGCGCAAGTTGGCGAAAGCTAGACAAGCCTTCTGTATCCGTGCTGAGATTTCGTCACACACCAGACCACAAGGGCTGATGAGACTCCCAAGATAAGTGAAGCTGTCAACACACTCAACTACTTCACTCCCTATCATTAGTTCAGGTGTCGATGCAACCAAATCCTGAAGTAACATTTTGCATTTCGAGGGGGAGAATCGCATCCCGAACATGCCTGCATAGTTGCTTATAGTGGTCAGAAGACTCTGCATTTTGTCAGAGTCTTCACCGAATAAAACTATGTCGTCGGCGTATTCTAAGTCAACAAGTGAGCCTCCTGGTAAAAGTTCAACTCCAGGAGATTAAGATAATGAAAGTGTTATTTCTAAAAGCATGTCAACGACAAAGTTAAACAAGAATGGAATAAATAATGAATTAGTAATGAAATTAATTTAGTTATAATACAATTAATATTAAAGACTAAACACTGGAGATGATAAGTAAAGATGGATAGTGGCCAGCAATACAATTCAGGAGGCGCGCTTCGACCTACCTGGGACTCGTCAGCTAGATATACCTGCATCTCAGAGTTGATGTTCATTCTGTGACTTCAACCCAGTACCGTTTGCTTTCAACGTCATAGCGTTATCCAGTCAGCTAATGAGTCGTGATAGCCACTTACTTGTGCAATGATTAGAAACGAATAAAAAAAATATTGGAGAATAATAATCAATTAAAGAGTAGTATATTTACATCA